TTTATATAGTCTAATATCATACACTGTATATATGCCAATACACTCACTCCTCTACTGTGACGTCGCTCCACGTTTTCAAGGTAGTCGTCTCGTCGACGTCACAAGACGGAAGTGGAGGCGGAAGTGCTGACGGAGCAGCTGGAGGTAGTTGTCAGACTGACAGGTCCTGTGTGTGTGAGTGTGTGTTGTGGTTCAGCTGCTAAGTGAAGATGTTGAAGGCGGTTATTCTGATCGGAGGTCCACAGAAAGGTGAGAGGAAACTTCTGTCGTTCTCTTCTCGGGTTTACACTCGGCTGTGTGTGCTGGAGGGAGCGCTAGGCTGCTAATGCTAACAGGATCTGTACCTGAGCTGCACAGACCAGCTGAGCTTGTTTGTATCACTGACGTGTCAGAGAGAGACACGATTACAACAACACAAACTCCATAACCCGATTATAGTATCACACCACAACCTGTGGTTTTACACAAAGTACAATAAACTGTTTGTTTACCTAGCACTGGTCTAATAGTAGTAAACATAGTAAACATTCCCAGTTAACGCAGCCTTATTAAAAAAACGAGGAATTGTTCTATAACCAAATGGATGAAAAAGATGTCTGATTTAATATCATGTAAAACTGAGGAAATGAATGAAGCTTTATATTGAAGAGATAGTGAAAACAGCGTTTTTGTGTTTTTGTATTTGTTTACTGACTAATCAATTATCCAAATGTGTTTGTGTTGACGGATCAATCTACTGACAGCTTACTACTAGATTTTTTGTGCTCTGCATAACATTATCTTGTCCATAAAGATGGCTGTTCAAACTACCACAGTTCTGAAAAGTTGATTGATGCCCACTAACATTATAGAAAGCTATCAGAGTTGTAATCAGATTTGTAAGTAAAAATCTACATTACTTTGCAGGCACAAGGTTCAGGCCGCTGTCATTCGAAGTTCCCAAACCTTTGTTTCCAGTAGCTGGGGTGCCCATGCTACAGCACCACATTGAAGCATGTGCAAAGGTTAGTGTCTTAGTAATACAGTACCAGTGTCAGAGTACACATCAATCATTGCACATTACAACTGCTGTATATGCATGATATACTTTTTTTGCAGCACTGGCTCCTTGACTGATTGTGGAACATAGATTAGATAATCACACTGTAAACATGTTTAAAATGATTCTCAGATCATGTTGCTTGTACTTATTTTATATTTATCTTGGTATTAGTGTGAAATTAAAGTTTAATTTGGCATTGTAAGTTTGATTGGTCTAAACTCAATTGAGTAATACTGAATATTTAAATAATTAAAAAGTCACTGGTTAGTGTTAATAACTGCTGTTCCTTGTGATGTGGAGAAATGCCTTTAATGGAATCAGTCCAATATTAACTTCTTTTGTCTTCCAGGTGCCAAACATGAAGGAGATTCTGCTCATTGGCTTTTATCAACCTAATGAAGAACTGACCAGGTTCATGATTAATGCGCAGCAGGATTTTAAAATCTCCATCAGGTAAACTCTCTTTTCACTGTCTCAGTAAACAACCACAGATAATCACTGTTAGGTTTCTGATTGTGTCTTTGGGGGATTGTGGGAGATTTAATAATGTACTACTAAGAAGTCAAATTCTTTTATCTTTATAAGTAAGTGTTACAAGTGATAGTACATCAGTTCTTCTGGATTTGGCGCTGCAGGTATTTGCAGGAGTATTCAGCCCTGGGCACTGGAGGAGGAATCTATCACTTCAGAGATCAGATTGTGTCCGGCAGTCCGGAGGCTTTCTTTGTTCTGAATGCTGATGTCTCCTCAGCGTTTCCTCTCACAGAGATGCTCAGCTTCCAGAAAGAACATGGAGAACCTAACAGCTTTGTTATCCTGGGGACAACGGTGAGCTCTAATTGTCCACAGCTGGTTAATGTCTATGAAACAACTTGTTAAATGTTGTGGAAGTGAAAATGTTTGTGGTTGCTTTTTATTTTGTTCAGTGTTAGCATCGAGATTATATTGAATTATTTGTTATCTGATGTCAAAAAGCAAAATGTATATGTGCTTTACCATATGAACATTCTTCTGTTATCAGGCAAACAGAACACAATCCATGAATTATGGCTGTATTGTTGAAAATGAGGAAACGCATGAGGTATTTAAATATTCCTGTTTTATATCCCTTAATTGTCATTATTGTCACTATTCGTGAATCTTAACTACTCCTCTTTTTTATGCAGGTCCTGCATTATGTGGAAAAGCCGAGCACATTTGTGAGTGACATCATCAACTGCGGTGTCTACCTCTTTAGCCCAGACATCTTCCAGCACATCGGTGCAGTCTTCCAGAAGAATCAACAGGACATGTTACTGTGAGTTTGACACGCTGCCTCACAGGGGATCTGTGTGTGGGAAAGCACGTGAATACCATTTACTCCATTTTCTTTGGTCCTCTTCATCGTCTCTTTTTTTTCCTCTCCCTCTCCTCCCTGCCATGATTTCTTTCCCCACACACTCATCAGATATCCGTACGACGGGTAAGTTAGTACATGGAGGCTGCACGGTGTGGTTATAGAGCACGTAGTGCACAGTGTGAGCTGTAGAGATGATGAGGCTGCAATTGCATAGGATGCTTTGTGAATCTTCTGTTCTTCCTGTGCCCCTTTTTCTGTGGACTATTTTGATAAATTATACTCCTATTATGGAATTTATTTTCCTTTCAGCTAAATTTGCTTTGATTAATTGTTAGAAAATCTCTTTGCCTGTCTGAGATTAAACATTTGAAATGATAGGAAATACACAGTTTTGCTCTCTTACTGACAGTTAGCTGAGAAAGCTGAAATGTGAAGTCACAGCCAGTAATTGCCAGTATTTTGGCTTAGCTTAGGATAAATATTTGAAACAAAGAAAAACAAAATCAAATATGGTACAATCTTATTTGTTTTATCTATTCAAAAACAGAAGTTTAACTACAATTGCACTCAGTAGATCAACTTCTTTATGTTGTCCCTGTGTTTTTTTCTAGGTTAGTCTATAAGTCTTATAAGATAACTTGGATTTGGTGAAACTTCGTGTTTCATAGTTTCTAGTGAGAATTTTGTAATGGTCGTGTATCTCATGAATTCTTGCTGCACAGTTTTCCTTCTGAGTAGAAAAAGCTTTCTGTCTGATCACAGCCTAAGTGTGCATGTGGACAGACTGGACCCTGGTCACTCACAGAAACTAAAACATATGGAATAAGTTTGAAGTTTTCAGTGACACACTTTTCACTTCTGGTGTTTTCAAACACACACACGGGTGTAGTAGACCTGAAGTTTGGTACCCCCAAGGACACTGGAAATTTATAGCCAAAAGTCAAACAACAGCATGCATAATTCACCTGCTGACATCAAAAACCCTTAAATCAAAATGGGCACTGCATCAGCAAAATTGTCTAACGCATCATAGATTCTTCATAGAAATCATAAATGTTGGACTGCAAAATCTCTCAGGGACTACTTTGCCTCAAACCACGTCTCCTCCTTTTTGGCAAAACTTCGATTATGGGTGTAATCCATTAAAATATTCTTTTCATCAATATTTAACAAGCCGTTTCATCTTGGGACTCTCACAATACACTATGCCAGAGACCCTGATTAATATGGAACACATAGATTCTTTCCCTTAAGTTTTGGTTCACTGCTAGGTAATCAGCTCTGGTTTCAACCCATTACAACACCATCGTGGTTAATATGAATGATGCATTTTAACTCAGTGCTCTCATTTACTTCAGGGCGCTAGACTGTAGGGCAATGCATGCTTTTCTTCAGCTCCAAGAGACTATTGAGGTAACAGAGCCACTGGATTAGTTTGTGGCCACTACTAAATATTTAAGGACTCTCAGCAACTGTTCAAGTACAAGAGGGGTGAAGAGAGAGCCACGAGAACTCATCCTTAATTTCTATAAAGTATTATTTGATTATTTACTTTATTATTTATTATACAACACCCTCCATACTTGAATAGTTTTGTTTATTTAAATGAGGTGGTTAGGAAAACTGGTGAAATTCAGCTTCTAAACAGGTATGTTTGGTTCGTGCTGCAACATAGACGCCCAGATCCTGTCAGTCCTCATGTCTGTGTAGGGAGCATCTTTGGCTGCAGCGAATCATTATTCATTAAGAAATTACTAAAATAGCTGCGGCTGTGACTCAGGACGTAAAGGATCGGTGGTTTGATCCCAATCTCCCCCCATTCTGCATCCCAAAGTGTCCTTGGGCAAGATACTGAGCCCAAATTATTCCTGATGGTTGTGCTGACACTATGAGAGAGATGAGTAATGAAGTGCTGGTGAATGGCAAAACTGTACGGTAAAGCACTTTGAGGTGTCATCCACACTAGAACAGTGCTATATAAATACAGACCATTTACCGGAAATTTACATATTCATCGTTGAGACAAATGTATTTGACATGTTTGATGTTTAACATTGGTTCAAGTCCCATCGGCTAACATGGAGGAGGCAAGGTTTATGACATACATTCTTGGCAGCCACTCATTATTGGGGAGCCATCGTGTCGTCCATTTTTATATACAATCTATGGTTTTACATATAGAAAATCATTTGAAATCATACTAAATCAAAGGGATTTCTGAATTATTGAATATCGTTTTTGTTTAAATCCCAATTTTGTCGGCTAACGTCTACTCCAAGATTTTAATTTAATAAATGAGGCCTCTGGCCCTGGTTTGTAACTCAGCGCCATAAACTGATAATCTGTCTCTTGCAGTGAGGAGCCAACCAACGGCTGGCACAGAGCAGAAGCCATCAGGCTGGAGCAGGACATTTTTACGGCCCTGGCAGGACAGGGCAAACTCTACGTGTATAAAACACTCCGGTTCTGGAGCCAGATCAAATCTGCAGGGTGGGTGAATGTGTCATAAACACTGTCAGGTTCAACTGGACACAAAGTCATTATTACAACACATGTGTGACCCTATTGCCTACCAACTGCCAGAGGAGAGGGTAGGCATTTGGACAAGCAAAAAAATGATTTAGACATTGTCATTAAATTCTATTGACACAGTGAACCGCAGCTAACATTGTAATTGTTTAGAGACAGCGGCCAGAAAGACATTCTGTCCTCAAAACTAGATGAGGTGAACTTACTTTGTGTTTCTTTTGTCATTCTCAGGTCTGCAATTTATGCCAGTCGATTGTACCTCAACCAGTATCACCAAACCCACCCTGAAAGACTGGCGTCAAATAAGGAAGCAGGACCAAAAATAATTGGTAAGATTCTTGAACCGTCTGTAGCTTTGTTCCTTTCTCAATATTTACATAAACAGGACTTATGTCAGTTCTTATTTTACTATTCATTCTTCTTGTTTTCGCAGGTAATGTCTATATCCACCCTACAGCCAATATTGATCCCACTGCTACGGTAAGAGTTCTTCTATATTTTGTTCTGCTTAACTCTGTGCGTACGGAAAGGAAAATCACAATGTCTTAGAAAAAAAATATTAGGAGAATATAAAAGACAATTCTGTATAATACAACAAAACAACATTTACTAGCAAACTATTGACAGATTTACAAACAGTACATCACATCAAAAACCTCATACATATATACGCATACATGACATAGTCTCCTTATCAGAAAAAATAATAGAAGGTGAACGAGTGAGCGCGTTAATGACGTTTCTAACCTGTGACAGATGCAAAACTGAAAAACTGGAAAACAAACAACTATTTAAAAATAAAAAAGAGGAGCCATATACAGATGTCAACTGGGAAAGACAACAAGATCCTAGAGTTTTTGGTGATACAGATGCTGATGTGCTGCAAACAAAAACGTGATCTCCGCATGGGAATTTAGGGCTGTAGTGTCACTGGTACTTTCATGTCCTTCCTCGTACCTAAAGGGTTGCGGTTAACTTGTGTCCCCAGTTAATGTTGTGCTGTAACTTGAGGTCTCCTGTTCTCTGTACAGTTGGGCCCCAATGTCTCCATTGGCACTGGAGTGACTATTGGTGCAGGGGTCAGAGTTCGGGAATCGATCATCCTCCATGGTGCAAATCTGCAGGTGAGCCTCTTTAAATGTATTTTGTATATTTACAAAGTTTACAAGAGGACATTTTCCCATCTCAGATGAAACTGGACAAGCTAACATAGGGCTCTGAATCTGTGCATGCACAGCACACAACCACCCTTCTGCTTTGGTAAAATGCCATTTTCTTGAGCCACCTGAGGGCTTTTCTAAGAGCTTTTCTTATTTGTGATTTTGGAGCCTTGGCATGCGCTGCAGTGGGAGTGAAGAACTATAATTTTCATGTCACATCAACAGGTGAACGTACTCTAAAGTTTAAAGAAAGCTTTTGGTCAGTACAAAACATCAAGTCTGGATTTAAACTGGACCTCTAACCTCTAACCAACTAATTTAATTGAGGGCAAATTTATCTGGCCCTTCACTGTCGGTGACATCTTTACATTTTATTACTAACATTATCCACACTTCAGCTGTGACTTCTCTCAAATTTATTCTTAAGCTACACTGTCACAGCAGAAATATTGTTGCCTGTGCCTCTCACAAAGATGTCATTTTTAACGATTCGGAGTCTGGCATAATTTAATCCCATGTCTCCAGTGATGACTGGTGCCTCGAAAATGAATTTAGGCTGCGGTTGACTTATTGGCTTTCATTGCATTTTGCCTACAAGGACAATTTATTAGCAGAGGTCTCCTTCCATATAAACACCCCCTGTTTTTAATCTGGTACTTAAAGTACAGTTATTTCACATGTGCCAACAATTTATAATACATGAGGGAGATGCTTCAAAAGTTCTGCTGATGAATTCTTGAACATTTAAAAACTTTTCTAATATTGTTCTTGTTGAAGGATCATTGCTGTGTTCTGAACAGCATTGTGGGATGGGATAGCACCGTCGGCAAGTGGGCGAGAGTAGAGGGAACCCCAAGTGACCCAAACCCAAATGATCCTTATGCAAAGATTGACAGCGAGACACTGTTCAGAGAGGGAAAACTCACACCCTCAATTACTATTCTCGGTAAGTGTGCTCTAAGTGATATTCATATGAACTTCTAAATACAAGTTTATGTTTGATATAACAAGTATTTTCCCAATGATCATACTCAATCTGACGTATGTCTCACTTTTTAAAACCCTTTTCCTGTTCTTTGTCTTATTCTCCATCATCTTATTATTATTATTATTATTATTACAATTATTATAATTACTATTATTTTACGCTGTTTAACTAAATTGGAAACTGCTTTTTTAACTTAACTACCCTTTTTTTTTAAGAATAATATAAAATATGAACACCCTGTATGTTCTGAGTGAAATGCACAACTGATCTGTAACATCTTGTCACTTTGCTTTGTCTCCTCAGGTTGTAACGTGACCATCCCCTCCGAGGTGATTATCCTCAACTCGATTGTCCTCCCACATAAAGACCTCAACCGCAGCTTCAAAAACCAAATTATTCTTTAGCTGATCTTCCTTGTGCTCCTATCCACTTACTGTCACTGATGAAGGATGCGGCTGAGCGGCTGCTGGCACTGCCTCTAATTTACTGTATATAAGATGTCAAAAATGACGATATGGGACATTCATTAAATAGTTTTGAAAGATAGATTTTTATATATTTGTCCTCAGGCCTTATGCATCATGGCATGTCAGCTAAATTAGAGAGGGGCTAATCGTGCATGTTGATTCACCTTGAAAAGTGCTGTGATGCCAGAGGTTTATATTGTTTTTTTATCAACGTTACCGAACTGTAAAATTACTGCAGACGGTGTTCGGTCGGATATAATATAATGTTTTACCCTTGGGAACCCTGGGACTTGTTACTTTTGCTGGAGAACCGAAATGACTAGAAAATGAAAATCACAGGTCTCAGACTGATTAATTTTTTGGAGGTGATTATTTATGTGAAACCCTGATTAAAATCTTTAGCATCTTCATTGTTAGTCACAAAAATTGACCATTAATCTCCTGCAGCTTCAGGATTTACGCTGCAATCAAGTAACACTGCCTTTTTAAAATGTGAACTTAGCAGGGGGCTAAGGGGGCCTCAAGACAAAACACATGAGCAGCAGCAGCAGATACTTAAATTGTGCATTTGCAATCACTGGTGTAGCTGTTCCGATTTATGGATTGAGCAAATGAACATTTACTTATTAAACCCTCAACCCCCTTATGATCACTACGGCAGTTTGGCTCCAATTATTGCGACGAGTGTCTGCCTATTAAGGAGCGATGTGAATTGTGACACTGGAGCAGCAGCTAAATATATTTTTAATCAAGTCTCTTTACAAACTAACCTCAAATGAAGGGTAAAAACAAGTTTATGTTCTTTGTCATTTATAATTATGTTTATTTTAAGTTTAATATGTAACTGCAGGTATGTGTCACAGAGATTCAGATACTTACTGCTTCAGCCCCAAGCCAGTCCAGCGCCCCTCATTACTGTGTTTTTTCGCGGTATGATGTTCATCAACTGTGCTAAAGCCTCTATGCCCTGCACATGAAAAGCAATCCTAATATTCATTAGATCAAATAGGCTTTCCAGTCCCATAACAGTGTAACCCTCCATTTATTTAGGCTATGCAGAGAGCAGCTCACAGTGGGGGTTCAGCTCATGGTTTTAAATTCCAATATTATTTACTGAACACTTAATAACAACATGCTGTTGAAAGCTTGTTCGGGGTTGTTTTTTTGAGTGGGAAGCATCGTCGGTGTTCATCTCTGAGCAGGTCGGCAGAGGAAGCTCAAGAGTCGGGATGCTGGGTATTAAAAAGAAGTAAACACACAGGTCGGGTTGACATAAGCAATCAGGAGGAGACGACAGTGAAGGTGACATGTGACAAAAACTGGATTCAAATTCCTCCCATCCGGACTCACGAAGGACATTTTAGCTCAGTGAATCAGATGACATGTCTGCTGCTGGAGGGTGTGTGTACCCGCCTCTTACAGTCAACATGGATTTTTAAAAGTATCTCCTCTCCTCTAGTTCATGTCAACTTGTCTTGGGGCCTTTTTTGGAGTGTTGTCTTTATTGATTTCCTTATCGTAGGGTTAGAGGACAACATTTAGAGGACTGCTGATGCCATTAATAATTAATAAAACAATTTTAAAAAACTAAGCATGTGGTTGTGAAATGTGTTTATATGATAATAATTTATTCTGTGACATGACGAACAGTGGTGTATACTTGGAGAACTAGTTGAGAAAGAAAAAATGGTATAGTTTAGAGGTTATTAATTATTGGCTACATACAGATTCTGCATAAATAAACAATGTTCAAGCAATTCAGGAGAAACGTGAGTTTTAAAGAAAACAAAAGAAGTTAAAATCAACATTGGGGTTGGTATTATCTTGATATACTAATTCTAAGCCTTCGTCGAGGAGATTGTTTAGCAGGATTACACAGAAACTATGTGACAGATTGCCACAAAACTTGGTGAAAGAATGTGTAATGGGTTATTGAAGAACCCATTCCCCTTTGGTAGGTATCCAGGAACATTTTCTTTACTTTCTATAACGTAAGATGGGGCATTTACAACATTTTCGTTTGATTTCTTTAAAAAGCTGTATTTAGCGCGATATTGGAGTTTGTGCAATTGATGCAGATCCAAATTAAAATCTGGATCTAGTGAATTAAAACGTGGTTTCATAAGGGGACTGATGGGCTTCTGCGGAGGTATGACCTCTTCAACTTTATGTGAAATAGTGGTTCCAAAGCCACAGCACAGGAAACACCAACAGTACTTGTGACAGGGTAAAACTGAGACACAAACACCTCAGTAAAAGGTTTCATAGAATTTACAGTTCGACTAAATGGAAAATAAGAAAACACTTAACCACTACACAGCCCATCAACAGAGTGAAAGAACAGGTACTGCACTGAAATTGAAGCTTTTCTGCAGTCGTCCATTAAATATCTTACCTCACTGATACTCAAAGATGAATTCTTTACATCTCTCATGGCAAAGAGGTCTGAACCACCCCACATGAAACTATAGCAGCCAAATAATTAATGAACTAACCTGGTATTAGACTGGTCCATTTTACACAGTGGATTACTTATGCACATGAAAATGAACAGTAATTACAGGGGGCTCTGACTATCCCTTGAACAACATTTAATCTTGCAGCCTCTTGCAGCCATGAAATATTTCTTCATTCAATGCCTCAATATTTATATAATAAATATATCACAACAGTAGCACTTTCTCAATCGCACATTAGCGGCACAGCCGTCGGGAGCAAGTTTGGGTTTAGTTCTGGTTAGTGGACAACCTGCTCTACTACCTGAGCCACAGTCAACTGTTGTTTTTGTCTTAGTTTAAGATTTACTGGTAAAAACGTGATGATTGCATTAAATGAGGTGTGAAGCAGTCAAACTCAACTTAATGCCAACATCAGGGCTTGTATGTTGAGTAAGAGTCACACGTTTAAAAAACTTGACATCTTCAGACGTGCAAATAATTTCCAAACGTATCACGACATACCTGAGGCTTTGTCAAACGACTGTGGAAGTGCAGTGGGGTGAGAAGCTCCTTTGGTTTCTCTAAAGCAATCCAGAATATGCTCCACTTTGCTGAGCATAAAAAATATATGTTTATCCCTCTGACTGTTCCCTCAGAGGGAATCTATTCTCATAAATGAAGAAAGGGTGATGTGGCAAAAAAGAAGGAGAATCATACAAGGAAGAAATACCCATTCTCTGTTCTACCTAGATTTGGAAAGAAACAAACAAACTTCCAGTTGATGGTGAGATTAACATCATTACTGTTATTATTACATTAGACATCAATATTCTAACATAACCTGAATATTCTAAGTAAAACTCTGTCATGTTAATACAATGCTCAGCACATGAATAAGGTCATACTAGAAATAAGCAAAGATCAAATCAAGATATGTGGAGTGTTCTGTCACATTATATAGATGTGTTTACGTCTTGATTGAATTATAATGTCCAATAGGAGTTTTCACATTATTTTCTGATATTGACATTTACCATTTGCTTGATGGTGCATGCCCTGGGTTCAATCGTAAACAAGAAGCAAGCATAACAAGGAGTTGGAGCTTTTGTAAAATTAGAAAGAAAGCATTCAAAAGAATACATGATAGCGTCTACCTTCAAATTATTTTATGTTGGGGTTTTAACATTCTAGCGGGAACATCAGCCATGTGTGGTAGTAGATGCCATGTTGATGTGAGTCATAATCATATATTGCTCTATAACATGTAAACAGGAAACAGAAGGTTCAGGCCTATCCTCAGCAGGCACCTCCATTTTGAATAATCCTTCGCCCCCCTGTCCATTAAAGCCTTTAACACCACCGAGGTTGAAGTACGTATGTATGTTGTCATTGATCACTGCTTTATCTTTATATGTACATTTTATCTTTATATATTTATTTAGCACGTGTTCATGTTTAGATGACTGCTCAAAGTGCTTCAAAGTACAGTTTCGATATTCACCCATTCACACACACATTCATACAGTGCATCTGTGTGCAGCACTTTCTCTATCATACATCACTCACACACTGCTGACACAGCCGTCAGGGGCGATTTGGTGTTCAGTATCTTGCCCAAGGACATTTTGGCACGTGGAATGGTGGAGACAGGGATCGAACCGCCGACCTTCTGGGACGACTAACGAGATGAATGTGTGATGGATGAATGTTTTTGATTGGGGTTTTTATGCTGCAGACTCTGGGATGTCCGAGGCAAATTTCCCACTGGGACAATAAATCTTGTTTTATTATCTTATCTTCTGTGGATGGAGTAGCAACTCATGTAAACATCATAATGTCTTATTCAGAATAAGTTTAAAGTCAAATTATCATTGTTAATGTAAACGGGGTCATTGTTTGAGTATACCTGATTTATAGCCTGAATTTGATTTGTTTTTTTCTTCAGTAAAAAGTCCAAGTTCCATTTCACACTCCAGTTCATGATGCGACAGTGAATGAATGTCGCCAACAAAGAACAAGTACTGATACTAAATTGCATTCAAAAGCATTCAAATCCAATACAATACAATTACGTATCCAGACAACTGGAAGGTTAAAATGATTGGCTGCTACCTCAGTGGACATATGAAAAGCATAAACAAAATAAAATCAGCTCCATGAAATGTGTGAGTCTGTGAGAGAGAGAGAAAGAGGGAGAGGGGGAATTTGTGTTTGTGTTTGTGTGTTTGTGTGTGTGTGTGTGTGTGTGTGTGTGTGTGTGTGTGTGGAGGCCAGACTGACTGTGGGCAGTGGTCCAGGGATGCTTCCACCTGAGAGGACAGGTGGAGGATGTGCGTGTCTGTACACTGAGAGGTTGATGCCTAACAGAGGCCTAAAGGACTGACAAATGAGCTGTCATATAGAAACTGACATCTCACACTGCTCAGATTCACACAGCAAAAAAAAAAACATTTGGCTGTCACGCATCACCGGTGAATGCTAATGTTTTGCTAAACTGTGCTCGGAAACATCAATGAGCAGCGGCTCCTCAGATCCCACGAGGGGGAAGTAAAGCAGGTGGTTTTGTTCCTCACTCAGCAGATGTGCTGCGTTCCAGAAACGTTAAGTCAGAGTTTTTGACTCCCTAGTTTGATAAATGCGACGTCATAACCCCCGAAACAGAAACGCCAACTATACAACAAATCTTAACACCAAGGATTTTAAGTTGCAATAATGTCAAAAACATGAAATACTGTCGGTCCTGTGCAGAAAAATGTGTTTGAACAGGTTAAAATCCCTACAGCGTCATAACTGGACATATAAAGCAATGTTTTCTGCCACTGTCTTCTCTCTGGAAGTGTTCGGGTGAGGAGGGCATTACTTTAGAGGGAGAACTCACCAAGGTCTTTGGCACAGTATGATTAAAAAAAAGTAAACCTGTGATGTGTCAGGCCGGATATTTTGTTGTATCATAAATGTGAAGTTGCACTTGATATTGAGTTGGCAGAATAACAGAGTGAGAAAGTTGAATAAGGAAAGTTATCTGTTTCTTTATATGATGATGTATCTGAGGGAAAGTGTCCTTGTCTAAACGCCATGTGCTCTTTTCAGCTACTGCAGGGCACTCTGGGTCAAGGTTTAACAAGATGAATACAGCACTGACACGTCTTTGCTCCAATGTTGACAGTCTGACTAATTTTGCTGTGATTCATGCCTTCGTAACGCTAACTTACAAAACCCCCCGTCTGTGCTGCAGTGATTATGCTCCTCCAGTTGATCATTTCCAATGTGGCATTAGTAACACCTCTCGAAACAGAAAGTCGAAAAGTTGCCATGCAGTTTGATTAAAAAACAGTTTTCATGTTTTGTGCCTCCATTTGTATTTTTGTGCCAAGTTTAATACCGAGGCGCTAAGCCGGGTCTGAATCCCCCCACTTTGAAAACAGTCTTAGTTCCACTTCTCAGCAGACTGAACTTTCATAAACTCGGCTCCTCTCTCTCTTTCTCTCTCTCTCTCTCTCTCTCTCTCTCTCTTAGCTAAGGATTTAACACAAACAATGTCTGAAACGAAGAGAAATCATTGAATGTGGAGCAGTATGATTGCATTGAACATGAAATTGACTAAAAATAAATGTTACTTGCAAAGTGCAATGCTGTGATAAATTGTAAGGCACAATGCACTGTATATTTTCATCCCTGCTGTTGAAGGTGCGTAGAAATGTAGCACAGGGATTTATAAAAGAACATATCCAGGGGTTTATTCTCCTCCTCCAGCAAAATACCTTACAGTAAATTTAAACAGTGTTTAGTATGCAAGACAATAATGCTCGAATAAAAACTCTGGTGATTAAGACCCCTTCAAATCTCGCATATCAGTATAATACAGGACAACAAATTCCAGTAGGTTAATTCAAAGTACATTCATTAAATGATGCAATGATGATTTCACCTTTCACGGACCCCCTGGCAGTGTGCCACAGACCGTCATAAGAACCACTGCATCAAGGGTCACGGGGGGACTTCAGCCAACCTCAGCAGACTTTGGACAAGAGGCCGGATGCACCTTTGTCTCCAGCACATCACAGGGCTGACATAAAGAGACAAACAGTCATTCACACTTGCATTCACATGTATGATCAATTTAGACTCTCCAATCAACCTAACCCCAATCTGC